AAGTCTTAATTGAAAGAAGATAAAATGGTAACAATTACATAATCATCACATTTTAAAATATAATTTTTTTAATAAGTATTGTGTCATAAAGAGGAATTCTAAAATCTTTTCCAATAACTTAATCGAAATTAATTACGATTAACTCATCAGAAAGAGATGAACAATAATAAATTTCTTCAGAAGACGTAACTAATGTATGAAAAAAATTTTCAACCTCAAGAAAACGTTTTATTACAACATAATTATGATTGCCTTTGATAATGTTTTGAACAATGCTAATGTTAGAATCTTTGAGGAATATTGTATCATCCTTTCCATTTAATGATAAAGCAAACTTTTGACAAAGTAAATTTCGATACTGAGAATAATAACGAAAATCTTGAAAAATTGCTGATACTGGTTCGTTTATACATACCTGAAATCTTTACAAGATTTACAATTGAAAAATTAATTTTATACAATTTTTTTTCTTCATGTCATCTATTTACTATTTGTTGCAATTGATTTGACTTTCTACACATTTTTTAACGATATGTCATATTATTCTCATATGGAAAGACTGAAAACAAATTGAGAAGATTATAATTTTTGATATTATTATTAAATGTAAAAGTCCATTATATTAACATTATATGAAACAAATTCTAATCCATAATGCTCAGGAACTCTTTTAACAAATATTTTCAACATTATTTCTGCTTTATTAATAGTTTCTGTTTCTCTAGAAGAAATAGGATCTACTAAAATGCGCATTGCAGAATACAATAGTAAAAAACACAAATATGTGGCTTCATTCATAACTCCAAAGAAAAGAACAGGACCAGTATATAGTAAAATTTGTCGATATTCTTCGAAAGAATGATGCTTTGCTATATTAATCGGTTGTCTTGCAAATTCTTTTGGACAAAATTGTTTTATTAGCTCTAATCTACTAGAAAGAGCTTTTATGGAAGCAGGTGAAAGTTTTGCACAAGAAGCATGTTTTCCATCAATAATGGCTAATAATATTTTTTTCTATGAGCAAACCAAGGCAAACTAAATGCATATAATCAAAAACCGTTTGTTTTACTGTATTCATAGAAAATCATGCGATAAAGGATTCTCCTTCTACATGATATTCTCCATTTAAATACATACTGTATTCTTTGTTTGTTCGCAACCTATGATCACTATCACGATATATCATGACACCGTGGCGAGTATTTTCTTTTACAACCTAACATTTGGAACAAGGAATTCGAGATTTACGTCCTACTTTGATGTCCGACTTTGATGTCCTAATAAAAACCTGTGCATCCGCAATAAAACACAACGCATCAAATATCAACTTTTTTTCATTAAAAATAATCCCATTATTACTCTTCATTTTTAACACATCGACAAATAGCTTTAACAACTTTATGGCATTAGTAGATTTCTAAAATTTGGAAAATCTTTTCCAAATCCCTACAAATTCTGATTTACTTTGATGAATATTAGCGATTCTGATCATGGAATACAACTGAACATGACTTGCAATATATAATGATATACTATCAATGTGAAAATCAATTTTCAGATTATTAGAAATTATATTCAAAGGAGTGATTTCAAGAATTGATCTGATTCCTTTTTCGAAATCAAAATGAAGATTGTCCTCCAGCAATGTCATCATCAATAGAATATGAAATACGAGGAGAATCCAAAAGTTCTTGGATTTTTAGAAAGATGAAAAAAAACAAGAATGTGTCTTAAGTAATTTTAAGATTTTTTTAACTTGTACATGATTAATTTCCTGTTTTTATTAATACAGAAGCAAGTTGTTCTTCGAAATTTATTTCCTCAATACATATGGATGGATGATTCTTTAATTTCAACTGATTTATCTTTCTTCTTCTTCTCTGATTTATCTTTGTTCTCAATTATAAGATTAAATAAGATAAGATAGAAATTTCATTTAAACTATCAGAGTCTGTATCATTAATCATGTCTCTTCCCAAACAAGAAGTACAACAGAATTTCATATTTTGAAATTCCTGCATAGAAAAATTTTTCGAAGAATCCAAATTATATCTACTTTCTTCAGGAACACATACCATGCAGTTAGTAAAGGCATTTCAGCCTTATTCATCATTTCTTTGCATGAAGACTGAATTATATTAAATAATTTTTTCTTATATCCTATTGAAATATCGTGAATGTTTTTGCGAGATCGAACCTTTTGCAACTTATTATTATATATTTTAAATTAATATAATTAAAGAGATATCAAATTATAGATAAATTATAAATGAGAGAGAAATTGTCTTAATTCAAAATTCCAAATACAAAAAAATTTGCGATGAAAATTATATCAAGATAGAAATATTTTACATAATCTTAACTCCTTGTATGATTTTGTCGTGCGGATCTGTGAAAAACGAAAACGAAATAAAAGAATTAACGAAATAAAAGAATTAGGAAGGTACTTATTAATCCTAATAGGCTATTTTATTTTTATTGTTATCTTCCCGGCTACACCAGGTCTGTGAAATCCTGCAATTTTCACATTATATCTTTGAACTGAATATATATGTTTTAGCTTAAAATATGTGAAATTTATACCTCGAAGTCAGACAAAGACAAATATGAATCAAATAAATAATATTTTATTTTCAATTAATTATATGCTTCAAAGAAATTTTATTGGAAAAATTCGCAAGAAATGATTACTTTGGATAAAAAATTTTGTTCAAGCAAAAACTCATAGAATTTTTTTAATTGACTCTTTGGACTAACAAAAAAAAATAATACGTATAAAAATATGAATTGCTAAAAAAAAGTATAATTATTTAAACTTATTGAAAATCGACATTTTTGAAAAATTTACATATTATAAGTTTACAATAAAATAAATAAAATTTTCCCAGATTCGAATCCTGGTTGAGGTAATATTTTTCGGAATAAGTTTCTTACTTTCTTTCTGTCTATTCTAATTTAGAGGAATTAGTAGCTTCAGACTGATTGTGTTAAAACCGAAAGTTTTTCGTCTCTCAAATTAATATCTAAAATAAACTAATTTAATATAAGAATATATAATATATTATTTAAAACATCCAATTTTAACCGTTTTTGACTTTCTTTACCATATTTGAAATAAAATTTTATTATTTAAACAATATAAAATAATAGATAAACAATTATACATGTATAAATATTATTATAGTACATATAATTAAATTTATTAGAATTTAGTTAGAAGATGACACTCGCTCTAAAGCAATACATCCGCCCCGGCCGAGCGATCTCTGAAGACTGACAGAAATTATAAAATTTTTATTTTTTATATTGAAGTAATTTTTGAATAACTTCCGAAAACGTCCAACGCCCGATTATTATAAAATTTGGCAGACTCCAAATGATGTCAAATGAATGCTCTTAAATGGATTTTCACCGACAAAGGTTTAATGTCAAAAATGTTTAAGTAAAGTTATATACCACCTAAATTATTATTACTGTTACATAGTTCGCTGTAATAGGACCTGAAGCAGGGGGAAAGAAGGGTGAGAGTCGTGCGCCCCTTTGCAGGAGGGAGAAAAGAGGTGAGAGTCGTTTCGCGTGGAAACTAGAAACATGTGCAATACAATCATGGAAATCGTGTGCCCCTTAAGCAGGGGGGGGGAGGGGGGGATGGAAATTGCTTCGCGAAAAATCGTTTCAAAAACAAAAAATATATTTTTAAACAGTAATTATAATGAGCACAAACTTCCATGACTTTATTCAAACATTTTTGGCATTAAACTTTCTTGGTAAAAATCCATTTAAGGACATTCATTTAATGTCATTTAGAGTATTTCTACCAAATTTCATGATAATTGGACGTTGGACATTTTCGGAAGTTCACCCTAATTTTTTTTAATTCTATATTTTCGTGTATTTATTTTTGTATTATTCGAAACTCAGTAAACATATATTTAATAAACGTATATTTATAAAAAATAAAAAATAAAAATAAAAATAAAAAATAAACAATAAAAGAATACTCAGAACGCTGAAAATTTACAAATCATGTCTGGATCTCAAGTACCCTCTCTAAACTTTCATGCATTTTCACGAAAACAACGCAAAAAAATATCCTTACAGGCTTATCATATCTATGGACAGTTAAAATGTTTTTCAGCTTCAATCCGTCTTATTATTATAAAAATGGTCCTATTATAAAAAAGTTACAGCAATGTAAAAAAATTGCATAGATATGTTAGATCAATGAATAGAGTTACCAATTCTCAATCGCAAAAGATTACATTGATTGACAAAAGTTTACAAAAAGAATACACTTTCTAAAAAAAAAAGAAAAAAAGATAAAAGATGAAGAAGAAGTCTTCTATTGTAAATTTTGCAGGTAAATTCAAATATATAAAATGACAAATTCTAATTTTGATCGACCTCCAACCTCTATTTAATCTTCATAAAGTTACAAATAAATATGTTTTTATATTTTACTTATATAGTATAATCAAAATTTTTGATGTTAACATCAATAGAATTGAGAGTATAGAATTGATTCACATATATAACGTATTTTGCATTACAAGTCTTACAAGTTTTTTCAACGAATATATGTATATAACCCAATCTCTGACAAACCAACCTCTGAAACAAATAAAACTTCTACTTATTATAAAAATAAACATTTATATATTTCGTATTACCCAAAGCAACATAGCCTCAGCACAAATCAAATAAAAGTTTTTGTAAAACAAATTTGATTATTAAATAATAATTCTTAAAATTTTGTCTCATTTCTCAAAGAAAGTACAATAAATGAAAAGTAAGAGTACGAAATATGAAATATTGTAAATGTTATAGTAAATAATGTTATGAAAATACTTAATGAGACATTATAATGCAAGTAAAAAATATTTATTAGAAATATTTATTTATATTTATTATAAGTATTAAAATATTTAGTCCATTTTAATAATATTGGGTTGTTCAAAAAGTCATTGCGTTTTTTTCCAATAGATGGCGTTGTCCACGTTTATTTGTATGCGTGACATGAATGTCAAATGTTTACGCGTGTTTTGTTGTTGACACTCAACCTAAAAATCAAAAAAAAGTTAACGCAATTCGGTCGAGTTTTGTGCTTGCAATTGTGGTTCGAACATGGAGAATTTTAAAGAGCATATTCTTCAGAATATTCGCCATATTCTGTTTTATTACTTCAAAAAAGGGAAGAAAGCAATTGAAGCAAGGGAAAAGTTGCGTCGAGTTTACGGCAGAAATGTCGTCAAAAAACGCCAGTGCCAGAACTGGTTCGCCCGATTCCATGATGGTGATTTTTCAGTCAAAGACGCTCATCGCTCCGGTAGGCCTTCCAAGAATGACAACGATGAAATGAAAGCATTGATGCAAGCAAATAAGCATTCAACGATTCGGGAGTTTGCTACCGCTCTAAAAGTGTCCGTTGGAAGTGTTCATGGCCATTTGAAATTGCTAGGCTTCGTAAAGAAGTTCGATGTTTGGGTATGAGTTGAAAGAAATTCATCTGACGAATCGCATGAGCGTCTGCGATCAACTCATCAAACGCGAAGAAAATGATCCGTTCTTGAAGCATATGATCACGGGCGAAAAATGGATTGTTTACAATATCAGCCGAAAAAGAAGTTGGAGTAGGCGAGGTGAAGCAAGCAAAGGCGGAGATCCATCAAAAGAAGGTAATGCTGTCAATGTGGTGGGATTGGAAGGGACCAGTCTTCTATGAGCTACTTCCAAAGAACAAAACGATTTAATTAATTCCGATGTCTACTGTGAGCAGCTGCAGAAATTAAGTAATGCCATCGCACAGAAACGTCCCGAGCTAATCAATAGTAAAAGTGTGGTGTTTCACCACGACAATGCGAGATCACACACAAGTTTGGTCACTCGGCAAAAATTGTTGCATATGGTTACATTGCATTGGGATGTGTTACTACATTCACCGTATAGTCCAGACCTTGCACTATCAGACTTCCATCTTTTTCGCTCCTTGCAAAACTCCTTGAATGGTAAAACGTTTGCTGCTGAAGACCTCATCAAAGCATCACAGCATCTAGACAAGTTTCTCGAAGAGAAGGATGGGAAGTTTTATGAACGTGGTATTATGAAGTTGCCCGGGAGATGGCAGAAGATCATCGAACAAAACGGCCAATATATCATTAATGTTCATTACGTATATTAAATAAACACACCTGAAAATAAAAAAAACGCTGAAAAAAACGCAATGACTTTTTGAACAACCTTTGCATAAAGTTTTACATAAAATATATACGAAATATCCATTTAACATTTAAAGAATTAATAAATATTTATCATAAATATTTTATGCTATCTAGATAAATAGTCATAAAAGGCACGTAAAGTGCGTTTACTAGTTTTTATTGAATGCGCATACGTAGCCTATTTTCACTTCACGAGCTTTTATTCAGGACTGTTTACTGATTATCAGGGAAGAATCTTCGCCCATTTTTATAAGTGTTTTAAAACGATCTTATCATTTCGTTTAATCCAAATTCTTTTTATTTACAAATGATATGCAAGAAAAATCAACATATTTCTTGCTTATAACGTCATGATCTAATATATGGCTGAAGTGTTTACTTAAGTAACGTAAACTACAGATTTTCAGTACTGACAATAAATTTTGAAGCACAGCCTTTATCATAGAAATGGAACGCACTCGTAATAGTTAGTTTCATGCTGTAAAATATCAAGTAATTAAAAAAAATTTTATTAAAATTTTTGAAATTGTTCTAAATTTTAAAAATATATTGATAATATTTTAGAAAACATTTTCTAATTGATAAAAAAGTAATTTTTTAAAAATATTTCTAACTTTTAAGTGTTTTTGAAAATATTACAAAATATTTTAAAACTTAAAAAATGTTTCCAAATCTTTAAAACTTTTGAAAATATTATTAATGTTACATCCTACAGACGCCACGATCTTTTCTTTCGAAAGAATCGGCTCCATGTCGCGACTATGGTTGGCGTCTATGAGACTTGAGTGGTCCTCTGATAATGGTCTGACAGATCTGAAAAGAGGGACCGGACAAGCTCTGCGAAAATTCGTAAACGCCAATCAACCCGGAAGAAATAACAACTTTAATGTAGGCCCGAAAGATGACAAGATTGCAAAAGACACTATAAATAAATGCACTGAAGTCACGCAATAGTAAAAATCCAAGCTTTGTCGTCCCAGACTGATTAACAATTTCTTAAGAAAATAGGCGCCACGTCGCGTCTAAAAAATCATAAAACGTATAGAATAACTTCCCACGGTAACGTTATCTCAAATCAGACTCGCGAATGACAATGATTGCCTTGCATGCAAAATTAGTTCTGCACGTTAATCGTTTACCTAATTATATTTTCCGCGAGGATAACAGAATTCGTCGTTCGTTTGAGCAATCTCTTTAAGGAAAAACGTAAATCATTTCTTTTCTTCTCGAAACGATGCACTTTAGATTAACAACGATAGGACGCTATAAAAATCGTAAATCTCGCGTGACATTGCAATTAACTATTGCGCCTAGACAAAGGGCACTACGCCCTTTTTCCGAGATACAAATAGAGGCCCCGTGGAAGCGCAGAGCGTTAGTCGGTGCGAACTCAGTCTACAGTAATTCACGTCGCTCGGTGTCAATATTAAGCAAGAAACGCGCTAAACTCCGGAAAGTTCATCAAAAGTTCAGTTCCAGTTCGCGTGATATTAGTGATCAAAATTGTGCAACTATCACTGTGGGATCACTCAATTGATTTCTGACACTGCGACTGCCCTCCTGGCGCTTCTGTGGATAGCTGCCCTGCTACGACTCCACTAGTTTTTTCTTTCGAGATCTCCAATCAATCAAGCAAAAGTAAGTTAGCCTGTCATTTCTTTCATTTTTTTTACACCCCTCCACCCCTCAATTAAATAAACTTGAATATATATATAATTATTAAGTTTGTGTTTACAAATGTGTTAGTCTCTCTGATTTTGAGAATACGTTATTTATTGATTTTCAAATCGAGAGTGATACTATATACCCTATTATACCCTATTATCGTTTGCCAGTTTCAGTGTTAGTTATTATTAAAAGTATTGAGATTCATGTATATGATGTGATCTGGGGCTTTATTCTGTAACTTTTAACAACAATGTCGATTAATGTCGTTGCGCAGCAACTTTTTCACCATATAAAATATCTGCGCAACGACATTATAATGATACTCTTAGATTAAGAGTTACAGCCAAAGGGGCAGCTGGCCGTATTATCTCCGTTACTCTTTGAGGAGAAACAGGAGTCATTAAATTGAGGGGGGGGGGGGAGCGCCCAGCAAACGAGAATGGAGTAAAATGGATTATAAAATTTTTTAATACATACTTTAAATCCATGAAAATTGATCGAATGGATTGAAATGGATAGGGTCCGAGCTGACACTAGTGTAATATTTGAAAAAAAAAACATTCATATTTAAAACATTCATATTCAAGAGTTACAAATTTTATTCTTAAGACATTTATAATAATTATACTTGAAATTAACTACTTCAAATTGGTATTAAGAAACCGCACCTTAAAGGAATTCAAACCTGAGACTTCTGGATTATGGATCTTTTATGTTATTCGCTATATTATTTCTTCTATTGGTAAATGTGTTATTCATTCTCTACTTCTATTACAACCAGCTAAACTAGTAACGAAATTATATAGATATAATTTCAAAAGTATCATCATTTAACAGATATATTAAAATATAAACAATTTACATTACTTATGAGACAATATTGGAGTTTACATTACTATGAGACAATATAAGTGTCGGATAATCTAATCTTGCTTGGCCGATGTCGCGAGCCGTGATTAGCCTAATTATTCGGGTTGTGTTCGACTTGGTTTGCGTGTGTTCACATTGATCATTCATTTTACTTCTAATCAAAAAGGAACAAAAGAATATAGCTCAATTATTTTTTTTTTAACTTTATTATAACTTTTTACAATTATTATAACTTTTTTGAAGTTAGTTGGATTAAAACGAAAAATTTCCTACTTAATTTTGAATTTAAGTAGCATTTATAATCCATTTTTAAATAAAAACTTTTTTATTCAATTAGTTTGAAAAACTGCTTTTCATATTTAGAATATTGAATTGAGCAGTATTCACGTTGCACAGAAATTGCTGATATTATTTTTAAATTTAACTGAATTAAAAAACTGTACTTTCTATCACACATTTCACAATTCTAAATTGAGTAGTATTCATGATGCACACAGAAAATACTGATATTATTTTTAGATTGAAAGGCATATGCAGAGATATATGCTCTATGCAATTCCTATAAATGAATAGGAATACATTCAAAATTGAAAAGGATCATTTTAACGTTTATGAATCCGTGTTTCTGAAAATCTGAATCCATTTTAATTCATTCCAATCCATTCTTGTTTACTGAGGTATTTATAGTCCATTTATATTCCATAGTTACTATGGAATTCAGAATTCAGAATTATATACACTTTATCACATTCAACATAAACTTAATGTAAATTTAATAACTTCGATCGGGTAATTATTCAGTTTATCCCCTTGCACCTCAAAAATCAATGAAATTAAATTTATTCAAAGCGTTTTTGCATGAAAACGAAAGAATCTGATAGAAAAAAATATCGCTCTGTCCTGTAAACCGAGACATTAAGTGTTAAAGATGATTATTAAAAAATTTGTCACAGCCGTGAAATATTACGAACATAAGCTGCGATCACATTTTAATGTTTTATAGCCAAATTCACTGCTTTGAAACACACATTCACTGTTTTAAAAACAAAAATTCTCTGCTGAAAACATCTACTTTGAACACAAACTCAGTACTGTTAATGTAAATTTATATAATTTTTAGAAAAAAATGTATTTTTTATTTCCTAATTCTAAAATTAAATTAATTTGCAGATACCGACTTGCAGTCGAAGAATAGTACTCAGTTATGCATAAAGATTATTACTTTATCCTTGGAAAATATAATTACAATGTTAAAATTGTTGGTTACAATTATTTAATTGTTCCAGAACAAGCTATGTATAAATTCTTCTTTTTGGTTCAAATTTTAGTTTACAAATTATTCTTATCATCTAACTTTAATTATAGTTTGTATGTTGATTTGTAGGTATATGTAGCTATATGCGTTTCACTTAATGCTCACAATGTTCGTAGAATTATTTCATTCTTGTCATTTATCAAATGTTAAACACAAATGATCGCGAATGTTAAGTGAAACGCAATCATGTTACGTGTGCGCGCGCGCGTTTAACATCGAAAGACATCCAAACCGAGTTGGATAATGTTTATAGCACATCTACATCAGCGTTTGCGACTGTATATAAATGAATTTAAACCTGGTCATACATCCACATGTGATGCACCTTGTTCGGGAAGTCATTGAAGCTGCTACGCAAGAAATCATCGATAAAGTCCACGATATTGTTTTGACTGATCGACGAGTGAAAGTGCACGAGTTTGTTGAGGCC